CTGGGTGAGTAACAATGGGGACGTGGTGCCATGGGGTTTGGTGGCCCTGTGTGCGACCAGGACCGTGTCCCTTGCAGGTTGGTGGATGGTGGCAGTGAGCAGGGCACAGCTGTGTGAGTACGGGGACAGGGGGAGAATGGGGAGAGAGGGAGGGGAGCGTGGTCAGGGGGCCATCAGAGGGGCAGAGGAGGGTGTGCAGGGACAAGGCTGACTGCTGTCCCCTGTCCTAGTGCTCCGACCCTCCCTGTCGCTGCACCCCAGCCAGGGGGTGTCCCTGGGGGACAATGTCACCCCGCGCTGCCATCTGACTCAATTGGTAGCCTGGGTCGCGCTGTACAAGGAAGGACATTGGATAGACATCAATAACAAGAGCAACGAGCAGGACACTGCAGAGTTCTCCTTGAACACAAATCGGGAGCATGCAGGTACATATTGGTGTCAGTATCGACTATCTTGGTCAGGAATGGTATCCGAGAGAAGTGATCCTGTGGAGCTGCTGGTGACAGGTGAGAGCACTGGGGACAGCAGATGGCTCTTGTTGCTCCCAACAGGACCGTGTCCCACTGCTGTCCCCTCCGTTCATGCAGATCACAGATTCCCCCCACCCAGCATTTCCCTGAGCCCTGAGGAATGTGTGGAGACAGGGACCAATGTCACCATCCAGTGCTGGAACAAGGACTATGGGGCCGCCTTCCTCCTGCACAAGGATGGGTGCTCAGCCCCCATCCAACGCCAGGACCTCGATGTGGTGGGCACAGCCACCTTCACCATCATTGGGGTGACCCCAGCTGACAGCGGCACCTACAGGTGCTCCTACCACCCCTGGGGTCACCCCTTTCTGTCCTCACACCTTGGGAGTAACGTGACTCTGGAGGTGACACCCACACCTGCATCCCCAGTCAAGTCTGAGCACCCCATTTGTGTGCACCCCCTGCCACGGATGGTTGAGGCTGTGTTGCTGCATCCGGGCTGAATAGGGCTTGTGGCTGGCAGTAGAGACACCCAAACACCCGGACGCCACAGGTGCTGAGGAGCAGTCCAGTGCCAATCTGGTGCTGGCACTGCTGAAGGGCTTTGTGGCTGCACTCATCTTTGGTCTTGCAGTTTTCTTCATCATCGATGCCCGCAGCATCAGTATACAGAAAGATGAGAACTGTGGTGAGGAAGGTTTTAAATGTCCACCATCCCCTCCTGATTCTTCCAGTGTCCCATGCCTGCACTTCTACCCCATATAGATCCTCCCAGGTGTCCCTTGCCTGCACTTTGATCCCCTATAGATTCCCTTCAGGCTCCTTGAGCGTGACTCATGACGTCCCCATAACTCCCACCTTCTCCACTTGCTGAAAGAGGAGCCGCCCCCGATTGCAGAGACAGTTCAGTTCCAGGTCAGTGTCTGGGTCAGGGGACACAAATCCCAGCATTCCCTTTGGGGCCTCACCAAACCCTGTACCCCAAAGGACCACCAACCCCATATGGCTTACCCTAACTTGATAGGTAATCTCTCAAATCCAGCGAATGTGGGACTCAAATTCTGAATGCTGTGGTAGAGCCAGACTCCAAATCTCAGCCTTCAAACTCATTGGAGCTCTCCAGGCTCTAAACGTGTCCCAGGCTCCAAAAAGCTCTCACAGACCGATTAAGGGGAACCCTCAAAAGCTGCACATATGGAACCCCAAAGTATAACCCACAGGGATGACAAATCTAATCCCCTGCGATCCGACAATCCCTAAACACTCTCAGACCATTTGAGCACACCCAAACCACAGCAGGACCCCCAAACATCCCCCTTGGGATCCTCAAATAGAAGGACAGCACAACTCCACACCCACCCTCTTGAACACCACTCCCAAATACCAACACCATCAATCCCCCTCCAAAGCCTGTTGCAGACCCCATGGTGGCACCCCGCTGCTCCCCTGTGTCTCCAGGTGCCCCCCAGTGACAGTGAGCGTCTGACCTACACCGAGATTCATGCTCTGACCCCTATTCTCTGGCCACCCAGGGCAGCTGCCACCACTCAGCCCCCCATTATCTACACCCATGTGGATACTGGGGAACCCCTGCTGATACCCCCTCACCCTCAGTGCCTCATTTTTAAGGAGCTCTGAAAGGAACACACCCCAAATTCCCTGCTTTCAGATCCACGATACCATGATCCCACGCTTTCATCCCCAAGTCCCAAGATATCTGACATCCCCAAATCCTTACCTATGTACCTCATCTCATTCCCAGACCCACCAAATCCCTGAGTTCTCCACACAAACCCGGAAATCCTACCTGATCCCCCTCAAATCCCATAATATCCCTTGAGTTGACAAGAACTCTTTAATCCACCCCAAAACCCAACACCATTCCTTCCAGGATTTGACCCCCCAAATTCTTCACAATCCTCCCCACAATCCCACTGAGTGCCCACGAACACCACACCACCAGTCATCCACCTCCACTCTGACCCCCTCCAGATCCCACCCAGTGTCTCCCTCCTGCTCTTTTGTCCTGGTCTCATCAGGGTATCAGGAGGGTTTCGAGGCACTGCACTGTGCATCACTTTGTAAATATATGCCATTGTGATCATGATATCATTCACTGTGATTGTTTCCTGCAGTCTTAGTAAACAGAATTTATCATCACCTGTGAGTTCTGCACTTATATCTTCTACCCCTCCCCTGGGCTTCTGGATGCTTCTGCCCGTTTGTCTGCAGCGTGTGCTCGTGTGACAGCGGCCATGGATGCCATGTGCTCCTTGTGCTCAGCAGTGCCATCACTCTGGCACTGCAGGACCCTCACCGCGGGAACTCCTCACACGGGCACTCTCTGCTCCACAGAATTACCATCAAACAACAACATGCATTTGCTGACATTTTCGGTGTGCTTGCTACCTCTCCAACACTTGCCATAACAAGGCTCTTGCCAGAACAACAGAGGCTGCAAAGCACCAGATGCTGTGAGATAACCGCACAGCCTTTGTGTGTCCACCAATGGCGCTGCTTCACCGCAAGAACATTTCTGGCACAAACACATTTCTGAGAAATGTTGTCATTGTGAACTCACTTCTTCACAACCTTGTGCTGCTGCAGCTGCCAGCCAGCAGAGACTAAGGGATGCCCAGAGTAGCTGCATTTTGTGCTGTCTCCATTTTGCCAGTTGGAGACTTCATCCATTGGATGAGCACTGTCATCCCCCTTTCTGCTCCAGCACTGCATCTCCTCTCAATGGACCATGATTGTTTTTCTCCCTTTGGGAGAGTTTGTTTATTTTTGGTGATGGAGGAAAATGCATTTTTGTTCAGAAACGGACAGAGGAGTTGTGGTGTTTGCCAGGAAATGGGGGAAAAGAGGAAGTTGGTGTGTGGGAACAGCAGTGAGGGGAAGGGCAGGGGAGCTGACTTCCCCCTTTTGGTAATGAAATGCGAAATGCTGGAGGTTTTGTGAGCTCGATGGTGTGTTTAAAAGCTGGATGGAGGTTTTTGGGACCAGATGGAGATTTGGGGTGTGCATGGAGATTTTGGAGATGAAGTGAGATTTTGTGTTTGGGGTCTGGATGGATATTTGGGGATGCACGAAGTATTTGTAGTCTGGATGGAGGTTGTGGAGCTGGATAGAGAATTTTGGAGTGAATGGAGATTTCTGTGTGGATGGAAATTTCTGGGGGGATAGAGATTTTGGGAAGTGGATGGAGATTGTGTGGGTGGATGGGACTTTTTGGGGCTGGATGTAGATATTGGGGTGGTGGGGGTATTTTGGAGCTGAACAGTGTTTAGGGACTGTAAGAGTCCGTCCCTTCTTCCTGTCATTCTAATTCAGGGCACAGAATGATTTCCTCATCTGCTGGATCTGACAGCACCACACAGCATCGCCGAGTGGCATTCCGTTCAGCAGTGAATTGGCTCTGCAGGGCTGTCCGTGGTTCCTGCCAGGATGTCAGCCTTCCATCAACAGGGTGTTGAATGCAGTGCCTCTCCTTCTGGGCTGTCAGCAGTGCTGCTCCCAACACAGCACACACTGGGTGGTTCTGAGCCCAACCAGTTCTCAGGAGGGAAGGGCAGCCACTGCACCTTTTCAGCTCCTCGGGAACAGGGGAGCTGAAACACCGGCATTTCCCAGGCAGCCAGGGCTTGTCCCTGCCCGGACCTCTCTGGCATGGAGCCTTCCTGGGGTAGAG